CACACTTTGGGTACAATGTTGCATGGCCGTGCAATTGTCATTCAAACTAAAATTTTATCATTTTCTTCACACAACTAGAGCTTTCTTTTGGTGGTATTTAATCACCGCTGGGGTTTTTATTTTTTGCTAAATTAACAAAAAAAGACCAAAAATTTTGAAAAAAAACACACGTTTTTCTTTGTTTCTGTTATAAAAGTTTGCAAATAAATAATTGTTCTTCATAAATTTAGGCCAAGATGTATTCTGCTACATGTCTTTGGTGAAAATAACCCAAATTAGGATGTATTTTTTAGTTTGTAGGAAAGTTATAGAGTTCACAAACTATGGTATAGATCTGAATATTGATCAATCCTGAAGTACTGACAGCCAATCTAATTTCTTGAGGTCCAAGAATGTCAGAACAGTACAGATATCCCCCAAATGACCCCTTTTTGCAAAGTAGACAGTCCGACGTACTTCATAAGAAGCATAGCGAGTTTTTTGAAGTTGTATTTTTTTTGTCATAATTTCTTGGAAAATGAAAAAAATAAAAAAAATTAGTTTTCACTATTTTTTTTTTTACATATTGTCACCAGTGCAGTACAGCGTCGTCATATAATTGGCATGGCGGTGATCAGGGACACTGACTGGTGACAGTATAAAAAATAAATATATATATTTCTTTTATTTTTTTATTATTTTTTATTACATTTTTTTCTTTTTTTTAAGATTTTTTTTTTTCATATTTCACTATGACCAAAGTAGTACAATGTTACCAAAGTAACATTGTACTACTTTGGGAAGTGACCAGTATTTTTTTTTTTTTTTTTTTTTTTTTTTACACAATTTGCTTATAGCAAAGAATTACTTTGCTATAAGCAAGCATTTACCTGAATGACATAGATTCATTCAGGGTTTTTATTTTTTTTTTGTGCTTAGCTGTGATTTGGCCACAGCTAATCACATGACATGTGCATGTGATTAGCTGTGACCATTCACAGCTAGACACTAGTATACAATGGATGGCATGAATGAAGCCATCCATTGTATACAACTGTCATGTGACCTGCTGTGATTGCCCACAGCAGATCACATGGTACCGGCAACGGGGGCCGATACTCAGATATGTCATTGGCCGTGTCCGAGGTACACGGCCGGTGACAGATCGCGCCGCTGCGAGGCTCTGCAGGAGCGCAATCTGCGCATGTGCGGGAGGACGCCATGTGGCGTCCACCCGGAACCCTGATGACATTTGCCAGCCACCATTCGGCCATAGGGCAGGCGGAAAATGGTTAAATACCAAGATGTCAAGCATAAAATCAGTCTATTTGCAGATGACATCATCTTGATGATCACTAACCCTTCCCATCAACTCCCTGTTGTTCATGGGATTCTTACCTCCTACATAGAAGTCTCTTATTATAAGTAGAGATGAGCGAATTATTCAAAAATTCGATTCGGCTGATTCGCCGAATTTGCGGGAGAAATTCGATTCGATGTGAATTTATTCGCCGCGAATTTAACTTATTTAAAGGGCTTCTAGGCTTCAGAGAGCCTTTATATTAGTGCAGAACACTGTACCTTTAATTTAAATGCCCTTGGAGTCTGCTGGGGAAGAGAAATAATACTGTCAGTCAGTATGACATGCAGATGAGTGCCGTCGATCTTAGAATCACCGCACACTTCACTCATTTGGGCAGTCACGGGGCACGACGAAGAAGGAGAAGAAGAAGAAGAAGAAGAAGTAGAAGAAGAAGAATGAAAAGAAGAAGAAGAAGAATGAAAAGAAGAAGAAGAAGAATGAAAAGAAGAATGAAAAGAAGAAGAATGAAAAGAAGAAGAAGAAGAATGAAAAGAAGAAGAAGGAGAATGAAAAGAAGAATGAGAAGAAGAATGAAAAGAAGAATGAAAAGAAGAAGAAGAAGAATGAAAAGAAGAAGAAGAAGAATGAAAAGAAGAAGAAGAAGAATGAAAAGAAGAATTAAAAGAAGAATGAAAAGAAGAATTAAAAGAAGAATGATGAAAAGAAGAATGAGAAGAATGAAAAGAAGAATGAAAAGAAGAAGAAGAAGAATGAAAAGAAGAAGAAGAATGAAAAGAAGAATGAAAAAAAGAAGAAGAATGAAAAGAAGAAGAAGAAGCATGAAAAGAAGAATGAAAAGAAGAAGAAGAAGAATGAAAAGAAGAATGAAAAGAAGAAGAAGAATGAAAAGAAGAAGAAGAATTAAAAGAAGAAGAATGAAAAGAAGAATGAAAAGAATAAGAAGAAGAATGAAAAGAATAAGAAGAAGAATGAAAAGAAGAATGACAAGAAGAAGAAGAAGAATGACAAGAAGAAGAAGAAGAATGAAAAGAAGAATGAAAAGAAGAAGAAGAAGAATGAAAAGAAGAAGAAGAAGAATGAAAAGAAGAATGAAAAGAAGAAGCAGAAGAATGAAAAGAAGAATGAAAAGAAGAAGAATGAAAAGAAGAAGAAGAATGAAAAGAATAAGAAGAAGAATGAAAAGAAGAAGAAGAAGAATGAAAAGAAGAATGAAAAGAAGAAGAAGAAGAATGAAAAGAAGAAGAAGAAGAATGAAAAGAAGAAGAAGGAGAATGAAAAGAAGAAGAAGAAGAATGAAAAGAAGAAGAAGAAGAATGAAAAGAAGAAGAAGAATGAAAAGAAGAAGAATGAAAAGAAGAATGAAAAGAAGAATGAAAAGAAGAAGAAGAATGAAAAGAAGAAGAAGAAGAAGAATGAAAAGAAGAAGAATGAAAAGAAGAATGAAAAGAAGAATGAGAAGAATGAAAAAGAAGAATGAAAAGAAGAAAAAGAAGAATGAAAAGAAGAAGAAGAAGAATGAAAAGAAGAAGAAGAATGAAAAGAAGAATGAAAAGAAGAATGAAAAGAAGAAGAAGAATGAAAAGAAGAATGAAAAGAAGAAGAAGTAGAATGAAAAGAAGAAGAATGAAAAGAAGAATGAAAAGAAGAAGAATGAAAAGAAGAAGAAGAATGAAAAGAAGAATGAAAAGAAGAAGAATGAAAAGAAGAAGAAGAATGAAAAGAAGAAGAAGAATGAAAGAAGAAGAATGAAAAGAAGAAGAAGAAGAATGAAAAGAAGAATGAAAAGAAGAAGAAGAATAATGAAAAGAAGAAGAAGAAGAAGAATGAAAAGAAGAATGAAAAGAAGAAGAATGAAAAGAAGAATGAAAAGAAGAAGAAGAAGAATGAAAAGAAGAAGAAGAAGAAGAATGAAAAGAAGAATGAAAAGAAGAAGAAGAATGAAAAGAAGAAGAAGAATGAAAAGAAGAAGAATGAAAAGAAGAATGAAAAGAAGAAGAAGAAGAATGAAAAGAAGAAGAAGAAGAAGAAGAAGAAGAATGAAAAGAAGAAGAAGAAGAATGAAAAGAAGAAGAAGAAGAATGAAAAGAAGAATGAAAAGAAGAAGAAGAAGAATGAAAAGAAGAAGAATGAAAAGAAGAATGAAAAGAAGAAGAAGAAGAATGAAAAGAAGAATGAAAAGAAGAATATTCCAGTACAGCAAAAAGTGTATCTGCAGAGAGCTCCGCTATTTCTGACAGTTCTCTGACAGTTCCTTCACATTTACAGCGGTTGAAACATTGTATCTATTTATTTCCGAATAAAAACATCTGTATCCTAAATGGAAACAAATAGATACAATGTTTCAACCGCTGTAAATGAACTGTCAGAACTGTCAGAAATAGCGGAGCTCTCTGCAGTGACACTTTTGCCGGCTGATCGGGAAAAATTCGATTCGTGCACCCGAAGTTTGCTAAAATTCGGATTCGATGCGAATCGAAATTTTCCTGAAATTTGAAACGAATTCCACTTCGCCAGGTTTGATTCGCTCATCTCTAATTATAAGCTAAATGAAAATAAATTCCTGATCCTAATCCTACAAACACTGAAAACTAAACAGCTTCTCACTAAAGAATTCCCATTCATATGAGGCAACCAATCAATCCCTTATTTAGGAATTAATCTGACCGCCTCAACCACTCAACTTTTTGATTTCAACCATAAACCATTCCTCCATTCCCTACCAAAGGAGCTCCACTCTCTCCAATTTTATGGCCTAAATTGGGTCACATCGCAGCTCTGAAAATGTTTATCCTACCCATATTACTTTAAATCTTTAGGACCCTTCCTATACCGGTACCCTCCAACTTCTTCCACAATATCCAGAGACAATTTGCCCAATTTCTACGGGAATCCAGACATCCAAGATGTGCCACTAATCTGTTAATTTTCCCATATCATAGAGGAGGTGCAAGCATCCCACACCTACATTCATATTATTTAACCGCAATTCTTGACCAGATCTACTTTTGGTGGCACCCAACTAAAGAAAAAACATGGTCCACTATGGAATACCAAATATTCTGCCCACTCCTACCACAGAACCACCTCATCTTACGCTCTATAGATAGCAAACACCCACCCATTAACTATCCGTGTATCAAAGCTTCCTTAGAAGCCTAGTCTATTCTTTTATCACACACTTTTCCAACCTCCAGGTCTATACCAATTCCCAATAATATCATGTATTCTCTAACTCCCTACATCAACTTAACCTTGTGAGAAACATGTGGTATTCACTCATTACTAGACCTATATATAGACAGCAAACTATCCCCTTTCCATTACCTCCAAAGCAAATTATCACTACCCTCCTCAGAACGCTTTCCTCATCTAAGGATTATCCATTGCATAAAATCTAAAAACATTCCACCATCAACTACTCTTCTGACCCCAGTGTTCCAGTACTATAACAACTCTAAATATCCTGGCAGAGGAATTTCCGTGTTCTACTCCCACATTACTGAGTTAAAATTTAATCTAAGAACAGCGGCGGACTGACCATTCAAGCACTGCCCGAGGGCCCAGGGTCAGTAGGGGGCCCCATGAAATGCCCCTGTTACCTTTTTTGTAGACTTTTTAGGGTGTGCTTTGACACAGGGGCCCCATGATCCCCTATTGCCCGGGGGCCCCATGAGTTGTCAGTCCACCCCTGTTTAAGAACAATGTCCCTAAGAAACTGGGAATTGATAATTTCCCAAACCTTTCCAGACAGTCTTGGCGCAAAGCCCTCACTCTTACATGCAAATCCTCCCACTGCGCCACACATTGGGAATCCTACCTGAAATGATTGCATAAATGGTATTTAACCCCGGGAAGATTGTCGAAAATCTATTCCACCTGCTCTCCACAATGCTGGTGGCAATGTGGAGAAGTAGGTTCCCTTTTGCACATAATTTGGTCATGTAAATCGTTCAGATCCTTCTGGAATAGTGTTTTTAATGCGATTTCCAAAGTAACAGGAAATATAGTAAGTCCTGACCCCACATTAGCATTGTTCCATATTGGTCTAGAAATTGGTCTGCAGATTTCCCCCCAGCTTGCATAGTGTCATCATTCATATTCTATATGCAGCCAAAAATAACATCACTAGATTGTGGGAATCACTCTCATCACCATCTATAGCAAGGGTGATTAGTGATCTAAACATCCAATGTGATATGCAGAAGAGATTTGCCCTCAACAACCTCTCCTATACCTAATTTACTAGTTCTTGGTCCCTATGGTCACACAATCCTAAACATATGGTTCAAGTTTAATAGCTCATACATTATGGAGTATATAAAGTCACTTTCACTGGTATATGGTTTAACCTATTAGTTTATATGGTTGTTCCTACCTTTTCTTCCTTTCCCTCCCTTATTCTTTTCCCTCCCTCTACTCTCCCTAAAGGTCTCAGTTTACAATATTTTGAAAGAATTGTCTCCCACATATCTTAGCCTAAATTTTGTGGTCGTTATTTCTCATTGTAAGCTGGAATTGTTACACAACTATACTAACCACCTGTATGACTGTGAACTTATCAAGGTTTTATGTTCCTTCTCCTGTAACTGTATTTGCTAAAATTTTAATAAAAAGTATTTGAATATAAACCTACCTGTATTCTAAATTATGAACATGTCTTAATGAACCAATTTTCATTTACAGAGGAAAAAAAAAAAAAAAAAAGGAGTATAGAAAAAAGAAATGAGAGGATATAAAGAGTTGTCTCCTGGTTAAATATACAATAGTCTAGATGTTATAAATGGCACGACTGTATTATTGGTCAAAGAAAATGGATAGTTTGTGGTCTCTCATAGAATCCAGCTTGTACTTAATTGAGCATAAGAAGTCGAATATTTGAAAAGAAACCAAGTGCCCCAAGTGCAGTCATCCTATGCAGTCATCCTATGATCCTATCCTGGGGGGGGGTAGGGTTTCGGAGGACTTTCAATTGGAGAAGGGCATTAGGCAGGGGTGCCCGCTGTCTCCCCTTCTCTTTGCCCTCTCCATTTAACCATTGGCGACCCTCATAAATCAGCTGAAGGTATTACGAGTTTTCAATATAAACAAAAAAATAATGCTTTATGCCGATGATACTGTATGCTCCTCTTACTGGGTGGCAATGGAACTTCCCTGCGTACTGCCATGTCTATTATCTCTACTTTTGGTACCTACTCTGGCCTTACTATTAATTGGTCCAAATCTGCTTTGCTGCCATTGGATGGCCCCATTAACCCCACTCTTTCCTCTTTTTTGTCCTGTGCAAATTACCTCCATGTTTAAATATCTATGGGTCTTTATTATGTCCTCCCCTACTGACTATTGTAAACATAACATTTTACCTCTACTACTTCAGTTCAGACAAAGGTCAAAATATGGGGGAAACTTTGGCTGTCCCTCATTGGCAGGGCCAACCTGATAAAAATTATTCTTATGTCCCAGTTGTTGTATTTACTCCACAATAATCCTATGGTGATACGCTTACAAATTGTCTGTACCATTAATTCCATTTATAGGTCCTTACTTTGGAGGGACAGGTCATCCAGAATCAGACTGGAGCAGTTACAGAAGCCCAAAGACAATGAAGGCATTACATTGCCTTCGCCATGGCTGTATTACTTGGCTTCTTTAACTACAGCACCTGCACATTGGTCTTCAGACTGCAACAGACCCCTCTCCCTGTCAGGATTCCACTCTCGCCATAGCCCTATTTTTTTACTAAAGCTCAAGTTCTGCCAGGGGGGCTGGAATCACTAAATTTCAGAAAACATAACAAGTTTTGTCCTACTTACAGTATCTGCTGATGCATGAAGTCTGGAAAAAAGTCAAACAACTAGAAAGGGTCTAGGGCTTATACCGGTTATGCTTCTATTTGCATAATGAAACTGTTCCAGAACTAGCCAAGCTCTAGTAAGCTCCTAAATGGTGAGCATCTCACACACCTATGTACATTTTCAAGGATGGTGTAATGCTCTCCTTTCAGGAGTTGCAGATTAGATTTCACCTCCCAACCTCCATTTTTCTATTATATGCAGCTTAAACATGCAGTAGCAGCCCAGGGTCCTTCATGGGATTGGTGTATGTCCCCTACCCCTACACCTCATTCAAAATTAATCTTTGATGAAAGGCCTTATCTCTCAGTGCTATAGGATGCTCCTCCTAGTTTTCCTGGAGGGCTACCATTGTAAGGCCTTGGAAAACTGGGAGAGAGATGTACAGTGTCCTGGGGTCTGTCCATCTTAGTTCTCTGAATGCATCTCAGAGGCTCTCACAAATGTACATAATTGTTTGGGATCATTATGGTGTCCGTTTATGAACCAGCGGTAATAGATCGCTGCTCAGTTCTCCGGCATTCTCGGAGAACACAGTTCTCCTGTGAATGCAGTTTATGAAGCAGTTCTCCGAACGAAGGGAGAACGATCTCCAAACGCTGGAGAACGGTCTACAAACTCTGGAAAATGGCTGATTTTACTATAATCTCGCGAGATTACAGTAAAAGATCAGTTTACTAAGCACAGGTAAATTATCTCTGCTTAGTTTTCGGTCTCTCCAATTCTCCAGCTCTGGGCTGGAGAATCTGGAGGGAGAACACAGATCTCCAGAGAAGGGCTGAACATATTCTCCTGGCTGTTATAAACTGTGAATGACCAGAGAATAGCTGTGATCCTCTGAATCTCAGCTATTCTGTGTGTCATAAACGGACACCTATACCCCTTGAAAATTACATGTGATGGGCTTATTTGCCTTCCCTATTTGCTGCAAGTGCTATCGTGACTGGGGCAATCTTATCCACATGCTATAGCACTTCCCAAAACTGCACAGGTATTGGGATTAGGTAGTGGATACCATAAATAAAGTATTTCAAGTTGCCCTGCCCTTAGACCCAAAGTATGCCTGTTGGGTGTCTTGGATGACCCCCAGCTGACAGACTATTCCTGGGTAACCAGTGACAGGGCTTTGTTCCAAGCCAGGAATCTTATTTTACAACACTAGAATGTGGAACAGCCACCGACAGACATAGAATGGGTAGAACACATGGGTTATACTCTACTCCTGGAGAAACGTATCTATCAACACCAGGGCTACCCTACAAAATTTAGTAAGCTCTGGGATAACTAGTTAGCTACACTGGGTCTCTCCACCATTAATCTAGTCTTGAACAGACTCCTATGACACTGTCCCATTAGGGTACGTTGAATTACTTACATATCTAGGTTGTTGTATTCGCATCACTGTAGTGTACTCTGCTGTACTGTCTGTGTCATTTCAGTTTACCTTTCCACAACTTATAGCCAGTACATTTATTGTTGTGTTATTTCCACATACCTATGTGTATACTTCCTGTTTTTCTTTCGATTTTGTGTACTGATTGTGAGCTCTGGATGAACTGTTTTTTTTTACTTAATAAAGTTTTTCTTTGATTTAAAAAAAAGAAAAAGTCAATGTGGGCATTGTGACTATTGTCATTATGAGCAGCTCCTAGTGTTCCTGGCAGAGCACCAAAGGGGAGAACCTGGGCACTTGGATTCCGCTCTTTCTCTGCAAGAAGATGAGGTGTGGGATCTCAGTGATGCTGGTGCAAAATTGAAACAGGTCCCAACTGTTTAAGTAGATCCTCTCCATTCACAAATGTAGAAAAGGAATAGGCTTTTCCTTGGTATAAAAAGGTCAGGCATAAAGGGAAGGACCAAAGGTATTTAATTCCTTTATTTTGCTAAAGCAACAGCAGGGAGTTGAAAGAGTGTTTCTTCTGGACAGTGGTTGGTGAAACGTCCACACAAATTTGAACTTCATGACCAAGCAGTTGGATGGAAGAAGCTTCTCTTGTCCTCTGCATAACCTTCTCCTTCACTTTGTAGAAATACGGTTTCCCAATTATGTCCCTGGGAGCACCATTCAGATGAGGGGTAGTCAGGGCTCTATGATTTTTGCCAGAGCCTCATCCAGTTTAACTTGGAGTTTGCAGGTGCAATCCATTTTTTGGTTGGTCCTACCAACCTTAGCATCAAGCTTATTCTTGAACTCTTTTTTCAATTCAGCAGTAATTTTTTTTACTCGCCTTCTCCAGACCCTGTTCAGGAAAAGCTGAGAATCTGGCTAGGATGATTGGGTCTGCAGAGTATTCTGGCTGTGCTACTGGATTCTGAGCTCCAGAGAGGCCTGCAGGCTCTCCTGGCTGTACATTATTTCCCCCACAGCACAATCTAGGGTGGAATCTGTAGAAAAAGGCAATTCCCCGAACGTATATTCTCCTCCACAAGGGGTCAGCTGCCTAGCAGGAGTGTGCAGGACTCACCAAGATCCACTGGTGCTTCAGATTGCAGAGGATGGTCCTGGTCTGCCTCCGAGAAAAGTGAGGATAATGGGGCATCTGTCACCATATTTCTCAGGCCAACCACCTGGGTATCATCCTCGGATGGCTGATTTGCAGGACTTTTAGGATTTCTCTTCACCATCTGGTGCCATCCTATTGATCAAAGAGGTGAGGCAAGTAGTGTGCTGGGTCCCCTGGTTGAGCTGATTTAGTGGATTTCAGCCGGATCGCAATGGAATTGGGCACTCGGTGATCTGCCATGCTCAGCCATGCATGTGTGCCCTTTGGATGTCCATTTTCATACTCAATTGTTTTTCTTGAAATTTATGATCCTGAAGATTATGTGTATCAGTTATTTTTTTTATTTCATGCATCTGCATATATATATAAATAAAAAATAAATGAAAGTGGCATATGTAGCTGCACTGTGTCCCAGGAGGCAGAGTTTTCTTTTATTTGAATT